ACTGATACATTATTATGAAAGACCATACTGTTTAGATTTACTCAATTTTTTATGACTTTGTTCTTCCAATAGATACCATGTTTCATTTAGTTAGTAGGAGAGAGACATTAGACAGCACAGCTGGCACATTTAAAATTTTATGTTTGAAGTGTCTAACAAATTACATTTTGATTTTATTTATTTATTGAGTTACTGGACATCAAAAGCAGAGCCAATTCATTTACCTCCCAGCCCTTTTTAGTTTTGAGGTTTTTTTGTTTTGTTTTTTTTAAATTTTTTTTATTTTGAGGCAAGGTGTCATTAAGCCAGTAAGTTGACCAGGCTGGGCCTGAATTTATTACCCTTTCTCTCAGTCTCCCAAGGTGCTGGGATTTAGGTGTGTACCACTTCATCTGGTTTTTTTTCTAAGTCGTATTTTTGTCATATAAAATACTTAACATACAACTGTGGTAAACATGATTTTATTTTAAAAGTATAATATGTTAATATAAATTTTAATAATGACATTATTAAAATATTAAGATGCATTAAAAATGTTTTATCTGTACAGAAGAAAACATTTTTGAATTGTATGTCTGTCTATGCATGATTATTTAACTGCTCTTATGAAAGCATTTAGAAAGTCTTCAGCCATAATTTCCTGTTTTCTCACTTCTACCTGCACTGCTAAATATTCTTAAGTGTTTTCAATCATGTATTGTTCATTAATAGTTATTCAGTAATGTGACTGAAAATGGTTTATAGCTTTTGCTTGTAACATAGGGAAATAAATTTACTTGCTCTCTACATTACTGACTCAAGTTTTGCACCATAAAAACAGCTTTCTGCTCCAATAATAAGTTCATTATCTCTCCATATTCTTGTAATCATGTTTCAGACAAGCACCCAGTCACTCCACGGCAGCCACCCTGCTGGCTCAGTGAGCCTTGGCGGGCAGGCTACCTTGTGACGAGATGGCCTACTTCAGCAGCATCAGTAACCACGTGAGGGAAGCTGAGGCTGCTTCCGTAAGCAGGAGCAGTCATCACTTGGAACCCAGACCATTGTCTGAGGCAACAGTGAGCGTTCCAGAGCCACCTGACAAAAGCAGAGCAGAGACAGTGGTCAGCCACCCCACAGCTTGATCTAGCCGCATAATTATATATATCCACCCATCCCTATCCTGGATCTTCCTACAAAAGTAAATACTGAAGCAAAGGAATTGTACATTGAGTAAGATAAGCATTTAGGGGAAATAATGATTTAGATTTTAACTCTAGGAAATGCTAAAGAATAAGGGACACATTTGGAGCAGCAGTGTCTTCTTAACATTGGACACTAAACCTAGGAAAACATAATAAATTCTCTATCATTTGATTTTAGTTACTTATGCTTATCGATAATTTGGAAGTCACATGGCTGAGCTGTTTGCTCCTTTTACTGAGGGACAAATTAAAATTTTAAATAAAATCGGGGCAAGAATGCCCACCAAAATCAAATGGACATGCCCACAAAAGCCCGCTAATCAGACACTTCTTCCTTTGCATAACACATGGTTGTTTAACTGATGACCTTAGAATGAGATGTTTAATGACCTTAGCAACCCACGATGTCCCCCAACCCTCCACTCACAATGTGCCACATCTGCCTTTGTACCTTCCTGCTAGGATGAAACCCGAACTGTGGGTCTTCCAGGTGTGACACAAAGGGAGACACAATCACTGTCTCTGGGTGCCAATGTTGGTTTCTACATTTTTCAGTTTTACATGTTCTTTTAATGTGACTTCTCTAAGTAAATGTTTGTAATAAATAGTTGCCTATCTATAGAGCAGAACTTGCTATGAATGTTCACGAATACCACAGACCACGGCCAAGAAATCACATGTCTGAATGGACCATTGTCAAGAAACACTAACACCTTGTAAGGATTTAGGATTCAGTCCTGGTGAGTGGTCAT